GGGTCCTTTGTTTTGCCTTCGTTCACATTTACATGTTTTTTTATGGACCTGACATTCCCTTACGATACTTCTTGATTCTAAGAGTGAAAATCCCACGTACCAACACGAGTCCTTTAATTTGTCTTTATTCACATTTACATGTTTCTTGATAGGCCCAACATTCTCCTACAATACTTCTAAGTTCCAATAGTGAAAACCCCATAGACCAACATGGGTCATTTGCTTTGTCTTCGTTCACATTTACATGTTTTTTGATGTGCCCAACATTCCTCTACAATACTTCTCGGTTCTAAGAGTGAAGACCCTACAGACCAACACAGGTCCATTGTTTTGTCTTCATTCACATTTACATGTTTCTTGATGGGCCCGACATTCCCTTAGAAATACTTCTCAGTTCTAAGAGTGAAGACCCCACACACTAACACGGGTCTTGCTTAATTTTAGAGTTCCAATCATTAAATATCGAAAAACAAGATGAACCTTGTTGGTAGGTATGAGTAGTAACTTTCAATTATTTTAAACCTTTCTTAACTATTTTATCTTCATGATCGCTCTCATTCGAACGTGGTTCTCATTCATATCAAAATACAAGAAAATCAGAAAAACACAACAATTAGGCTTTCACTATTATTTAATGAAGATAGTAGCAGATAAGACTCCCATAATGTGCTTTAAACAAATTGATTGAGAAATTCATCCACAGTTGTATATTCAACGTCGGGATATAATTTTGTGGCTTCCACTCCAAATGATGGTTCGATATCAAAGTTGGTTTGATCTCCCTTCACAAAAACCGAGTAGAAAATTGATAGCCTTAGGTATAGTGGAAATGAAGCTTCTGCAAATTAACAATAAAAAAAAGGCAGTTAGTTGTGTGAGATCTCATATCGGTTGAAGAGAAGAACAAAACATTTCTTACAAAAATGGTTTAAAATCGTGAGGCTGACAGTGATACGTAACGGGACAAAACGGACAATATGTATCGACGACAAACTTGAGCTATTACAAATGGTATCAGAGTTAGACACTGAGTGATGTGTCAGCAACGATGCTGAGCCTCCAAATGGTAGATTGTTTTAACGAAACATTTTTTTACAAGGGCGCAAAAAATTTCTCTCTAATAAACACGTTTTGGTAGCTCGAAAGTGAATAATTGAAAATGCTAACCTCGAATGTCGTTCAATAGTTGTTGCTCCGAAACATAGGACTTGTCAAGGGTTTTCCCACATTTTTGTACCGAAAGGGCGACAAGATCAACACAAGAGTAGGTGTTTTGAAGTGGTCGAACATAGAGGATTTTGTTCAATGTTCTTGGATCATCCACAACTTTAATAATATAGGTGGCAATGTCTCTCCACGTTGAATATTGCTGATAATACAAAAAGAAATAAGTTACGCTAAATAATTTGAACATTCTACGAGACAAACTTAAATGTCATAGATGTCGATTTTG